TAAACATTACAAATAAGTACATGATAAATGACTACAAAAAAAAATAAAAAAATAAATCTAAAAAACTGAAATTAAAACAAAAAATTAAAATATAAAAATAAAAGTTAAATATACAAAACATCAATAAATACTACAATAATAATAGGCTACTAAAATAATTTCAATCAAATATAAATTTATAACCATTCTTATGACCTTTTAGAGATGGTATAAATGCAATCCAATAATTGGCCTTAGGTCCACTTAACACTAAATGAACAATTGTGTAAAATACTATTGAAAAAAATCATAATGTGCATAAGCAAAGAAAGTGGAACAACAGTCATGAAACACTACTTATCATATATCAAATATCATAGTTTGAAGCTGTATATGTGTGTGGTCCACTAAAAATATCTGACTCCGAGTCATTTGTTTGTGAACTGGAACACAATGGTTTCTGATTCATTAAAACATACTGAATCAAAGAATCATTCATTTAGGAATAAGACTACACCGATCACATTGTTTATTTCAATCTGTAGCTTCAGTTGCACAAGGTTTCCCAACCATAGTACTGTCTGTTTTATCATGCAGAGCACATTGAGGTGTCTCTGAGTGCCAATGCTACTTCCAGACATGACCCAGAGTCATGAACACACATAAAGCCCACCTGCTGCTCTGAAGGACAGAGCTAATGAGAGGGCAAGATGGGTAAAGTAGGAGGTTATATATAGATTTAAAGGTTAATGCAATGGCCTTGTTTCACGCATTCCTACATGCACACATAAACATTCCCAATCTTCCCACAGTGTTTGGTAATAAAGGAAGATGAACATGTCTTGTTACATGTGATTGTACATTACATGAAAACACAACGCAAGGTAATTCAGATGATGAATTTGGCAGCTAATTTCCCCACATCTCTGCACTGAGGCAACCCGGCTGGAATGACTTTCCGTGTCTGATGCCTGATGTCTCCTGAAAGAGCTCTCAGCGGGTCCTTTGAAGGGTGGCAGCAAATACAATTTTCATTTTGTTTGGTTGCCTTCTCATCTCTCTGAGGAGTGCCAGGGTATTTTCAAAGCATGACTCCCCCTAAACTGTGATAGATGATGGTGTCTGAAAAAGTCGCAATTATTGTGAACACAAGCGATATAAAATCCTATGAGGATGCCAGATGACAGGTCTGTGAATAGATTCAATGAAAAATATAAGTAAATAAATACTTGGACGTGTTTAGAGATCATCACAGTGATGGGTGGGGGAAAAATGAACACCTTTCTGAAATGGAGGACATCTATTCATCTCAGAGCAACACAATGGGCTAAATGTTCAAGGCGGGATAAAGCGGAATGAGTGGCAATCCAGCTCTCATTTTAATTTTCTGCCTCGTGTTATTTTATAAGACCGTGAACGCTATAGCAAATTGAATTTAACAAGGAAGAAAGCCTGCTTTAATTGAGCCGAGGACTGCGCTCTTAAATCTATAAGCTAATGCTCAAAACACTAATTAGAAATGGGTTCATTGTTAAAATGGACACAGATTAGCTTCCAACTCTGTCAAATTTTAACTTTCTTTATTGCTTCATTCCAAAAATTTCCTGTAATAAAACAGACCACTAGGGGCACCAATATGCATTTTGAAAATTCAGCTTACTTTAAAGGGATAGCTTACCCAAAGTAAAAAATTCAGTTTGAGGGTGATGTCGTAACTTTCATTTTTGGCTTAACTATCACTTTAACAAAATATCTTTATTTTATTACACCCAAATGTGGTTTACAGCATATAAATGGCAATTTTATCCAACCAAGTGAAGTGTGGAAACAACTGAGGCTCAAATCCATAACTCAAGGCAGCTGGCCAAGTTCTATATTTTCCAGAGGGTCTCATTAGACAGCAAGATGAGGTGTCCCTATAGGACCAGTTTGGGCTTCAGTCACGTCCAGCTTAGAGAGATGTGGGAAGTTCTGACAAGGGTAAGAGAACACAAGTGCTAACAAGATGGTGAAGTGTTAAGATCTGACAGAAGATGAAACGCACCGTCTCTTTCTCTTCCCTTTGGAGTTCACCTAAATGAGACCCCCGAAAGAAGGCCTCTATCTTATAGTGATAAATTACTTGTTTGAAACTCAAAGCCAAGAAACTATTGACTTACAACATGCTGATATAAAGAGGAACTAATCACTGGGAATTTCAAACATCTACAATTCCCATGAGTTAAAGTACAACTGG